TCAAGAAACCAAAAATCACCAAGAGACCAGGACTGTTTTGTCCTTGCCCTGCAGACACATCATCCACTTGTGCCCAGAACAGAGTGAAAAGGTACACCCAGACATTTGCAATCTGAAAAAACTTACCCCAAGCTCTGCAAGCAGCAAGAGAAAGCCAGACCAGAGGGTAGCGCCACATTGTGGGTGGACAGGACTCCGTGGGTCTGTGAGGTACCTGCTGCTGCTCTAGCAATGCTTCTGCTGTGGACCCAGGGACCCGCCTCCTCAAGTCTTGCTCAACCAGCCCAGTTATGTAATCTTAGATGACAAAAAAGCTCTCCTCTTCCAAAGAGCTCCCTGGGTCAGTTGGGACCTCCAAGCCACGCCCACCAAGAGTTTACCCACTTTATTTTGAACAGTCAGTACCCAATACTCAGATTACAAATGGCTAGAAACTCATCCAACTGCTTCTTATGTAAGCACTTCTCCTCACAACGCTCTTTGCTCTCACCTCAGCGCACCTTAAACTCTCACAAGCAGGAAGCAGCAAGCGAGTGCCTGCAGGTTGGGGGAGTTTGGGTCAGCCTCCCGGGACTGTCATTTCCTAGAATCCATGCTCTCAAGTTTGGTAGGAATCTCACCCTCCATCAATCTTCAAATGATTCCAAAATTATCTTTGCAGTACTCCTTTGCAGGCCCACCACACGGCACCTTCAGGGTCAAGGAAATTTACCCTTTAGAGTGAGGTCTTTTGAACACAATGTTCTTACAGTAAATAAACTCCACTGAGCACAGTCCTTGCCTCTAAGCGTCCATGTATACACGGATCCTTCAAATATTTACCAAGCTGCATGGCCTTTCTTTCATAGGAAGCTACAACAACAGCAGGTGGCAGTAGGTGCAGCTCTAGGATTGCTGGCTCTAGCCTGTTTCAAGAATGTCGCCTCTTCATGCTTTCGTAACTGGGTACCTCTCTTCACCCCCCTATGGTGTATTTGGTATGTTTTACGTAATCATTTATTTTTTAAGTCTTTGAGATGCATCACTGGGTTATTTGTGTTTCTATTTTCATTTGGTTCTAAGAATCTTTAGTTAAAAATTGGGAGATTTCAACTGATTCATTTTGGAAAAAGTTGTGTGAACTGATAGAATTACAGATACTCTACAGTTCTGTGAGGGACTAGTCTGTAAATTTAAGTCCATTTATGCATACTTACGTCTTTTTTAAATGTAGACAGCCATGATGTAGCTACTTTTGCTCTCAGCCCCTTATGTTGTACTTCCATTTTCATTTCATTTAAGGAATTTTGTAATCCTCTCCCTCTTCCCCCTATTTCTTCAATGAATTGTTGTTCATTGCAAATTATATTGCTCAGTCTCCATTATTCATACTTTTCATGATTTTTTTATTTCATTCTCTTATGATCTGACACAATGAAAGAAGTTATTGTAGTTTTTATATTTGTATTTATAAATTCTTTGTTTGCTAAGACTTACTTTATTATCTAAAATATGACCTGTTTGGAAAACATTCCATAAGATGATGAAATGAATGTGGATTCTGTGTCTGTTAGACGGAATTCTCTGTACATTTCTGTGAAGTCCATATGATGTATTGGGTAATTTAACTCTACTATTTGTTGACTTTTTTATTTTGATGATCTCCCTATTGGTAAGAGGAGAATATTGAAGTCACCCATAGTTGCTGTGCTACAGCCCCTGACATTACTGCTATGGCGTTGGTACCCTAACATTGTGTGTATTTGCAATAATTGTGTTTTGTGATGGGTCTGTGTACTAATCAGTGTCTCTTCTGACTCATTTTGTCATGAAATCTGTCAGGTCAGGTATGTCTACAGCTTCTCTTGCTCGCTTTCAGATCCTATTTGCTTGGATGTCCTTTCCCCTTTGTTTGTGGAAGTTTTTCATGGAGAGGTGAGTTTCTTGCAAGCAACAAACTGTTGAGTCCATTTTTAACAATCTTATCCGTGTCTTTCAAGTGGAGAAATAAGACTGTTTACATTCTTTGTTTTTAAGTAGTCTGCACTAGTTCTGCTGTTTTGTTTTCTTCTAGTTGTTTTGAGAGGGCGATGCCTGCCTTTTTCTCTTGTGTTTTCCAGAGGTTTGGCTACTCATTGATTTAACAATGCTTGATTTTTCATGATCCTTATTTGTTTATTTTCTCTTTCCTTGTGACTTAATCTTTCTCCTGTTGTCATGGTTTTTATCTTACTTCTGTAATGCTTGTTTAGCACTCACAAATTCCTTTAGTTATGTATTTTGAAGGGTTTTTTTCCTCCTTCAATTTTGAAGGATAACTTTGTTGGTATAGTAATCTAGATGGGCCGTTATTTTTATTTGGTAATTGAAAACAAAGGGGAAAATAGCAAAATGTACTAAAATGTTAGAAATTGTTAGGATCTGAGAGAAACCCCCAAGAAAGACCAACAGTCACGTATGCAATTTAGCAAGAGCATTTATTGTTTGCTGGGGTGGCAAATAGCAACCCCAAAGAAGGTTACAAGTTCCTTTTAAGCAGAGTTAGGGGAATTCCAGGGATGAGGGATTAATCTGGTGCTAATTGGTGGAGGAAAGATTAGTCTGGGAGCTGATTGGTGGGAGGCTGTAGTGGTTAGGGGCTTATTGGTGGTGGGGGGTCTAGTGTCTAGAGGCTTGTTGACAAGAGAGTAGGAAAAGCTGTCTTTAGCTAGCAGAAGTCTGGGGGGCATCTGCTGAGCCAGCAGAAGGAGCTTTGGGGTGTCTGCTGAGCCAGGGAGTCTGCAGGGTGCCTGTTGATTGGTTTTCCTTAAGTTGTGGTTTTTCCTGAGAACTGCTTGCTCAGCTCCAGCCCATTCTAGTGATCTGAAATTAAGGTCTGGTCCATGTCAGGGCTGCTAGGGGAGCCTGTCATGGCCCTGGTTTGGCCATTCGGTCCTCTCAGAAATCAATAAATGTTTACAAATAAATAACAACTATAATAAAATACAGAATATATTCAAGAAAGAGAACCATGAAAGAAGGGAGGGAAAGATATAATTAAACAGCAAAATAAGGGCTTGTGGGATGGCTCAGTGGGTACAGGCCTTTGCTGCCTGACCACCTCCATTCAATCCTCGAGACTCACTCTAGAGGGAGAGGACAGACTCCTATAAATTGTAATTGTATTGCTCACCATGGCCAGCAGGACACTTTGTGAATGGAGTCATTTTTAACTGCTCAGATACTCTGATCACCAGAATGAGCAGGAATAGGCAGCACCAATGTTATCTGCACAGCCAAGCCTGGGCTGAACTGATGGTGGTATGCGTCTCGGTTGCTAGCAAACATTTGTTTTGCCTGCTGGGATGAGTGGAGTGTGGGTTGTGATATGATATGGTGTCACAACATATACACTGAGTGTTTGGAGTGGAGTGGTAGATGGAAACTGTCTCCTCCACCCACCACTCAGGTGATTCTGGAAAGCCACCCACACAATCACATGACTACTCGATTTCTCGGAGCAAACAAGCTCTCAAGGCTGACTTCTTGTCTGTCAGCCAACAGAAATTTGCTGTTGGTGGAGACATGAAAAGGCTGGAGGTATTTCTTCCGGATCAGCAATCTCAGACTCCGCGTCTTTCTTCTGGTGTCTGTCTCTCCTGAAAATGCCCCCATGAGCATGTGAGGCTCCTGTATTGTCATTCCCAGTCAACTCAATTTAACACCCATGCTATTACTCAGTCTAGACTGGCTGCTCATTTATTTTTGTCTCTTGTTAACCGGGTCTTCTTTTCTGTGGCTGTAATTTTTGCATTTAATATTTGATACAAAAAGAAAAGAAACCGAAATAGATGGTATTTGTAAGTAAACATGAGCATGCTTGTTTTTCTGTTAGTCTGATGAAACCCCCATCTGTTGCTTGTGAGTGTGTGAGTGAGTGTGTGTGTGTGTGTGTGTGTGTGTGTGTGTTAAAGGGCTTGAATTTTTTTAGTATAGGATATAAGTGAGGCCTTAGTTTTTTTTCTCTCCTTCGCTACCACAGACCACTGCCTCCTCCAAACTATGCTAATGTTAGCCAGTGCTTTGTTAACCCTTATGCCAAGGCTGATGCTGAAGGGCTTGTTTATGTCTTGCTCAGTGCTCAGCTTTCAGCCTGACCTGTGCATATGCCTTTCACAGGATTCTCTCGCACACTTCCATTTTGTTGAGTCAGATTCTTCATACTTGGTACCCAGTAGCTGTTAACGTGAATATGGCATCTAACCCAGTTTCCAGAATTCTTAAGAGGACCCCATGTCCTTGGACATTGGAATGCAGATTTCTCTGTGACCTTGTCCTTCCTGAACATCAAAAGACTGCTAGTAAAACTACCCAGGACAGTTTCCTGGTGCTCTCCCCCAGGTATGTATATACATTCTTTTTCTTTAGCCTGTATAAGTTTTTACCATGCCTTCAAAGGAAAGAAAGCCTTATACTTTCCCTTATGGATTTCATTCATCAGGATAAAGAAATCTGAGCAGGACTTTCTGTGGAGGCTACTACCTGCACTTGATTGGAGAAGTCAGTTATGTGGTGACTCCTCCATGACTCAGTGGTCCCAGAAACTTCTTATTCTCCTATCAGTCTCCACTTCCCCTAATACTCCACTAAACCCTTTAAAGTCAATTTCTTCACATGCTGATGATGTCATCACTCAGAAGCAAATGATAGGTGAGCAGGAATCTCCACTACTCTCCCTTTCCTTTAGATTTCTGGATAATCATTCCCCATAGACATTCTCTGCAGAGACATCTCCTATGATGTTGCCCCTCACTCAGGACCATAGATTCATCTATCCAGGATATCAACCTTGATTTGATTTACAAACCAATATTTATTTCCCAAATTGAGTCCAAGTGTACAAATAGTCTCTCTCCCTGGCCTCTGCCCACTCCACCACACAATTCCCTAGTCTCCCCAATAACTTGTTAGTCAAAACAATCTTCTGTGGAGTAGCCTCATTTGGGCTCCCCTGGTCTTCTGAGGCTGGCAGAGTCTTCCACTCACAGCTCGGTGTGTCCTGTCAATTGTGGCTTCTTGGCCAGGAGCTCAGTCCAAAAAGTCACATCCTTATCTTTTAGTCTCTGGGCTTGTTGGGTGGTGGCTCCAATCTGCAGGTAGCCTTCCTTCTGGTCATACTCTGGCCAGTGGGGCAGCCCCTTTCCATTGGGGTTCCTGGGAACAGGATCAAATAGAATTCCTTGAAACCCTCGTGTATTCCCACATTCTTATCACATCTGTGGGGACCTCTGGTCTATCCCTTCCAAAGACTGTGCACCTCAGAGATGGGAGCAGCATTGCCTGAGCCCTGGCTCACAGGATTAGAGCCAATCACTTAAACTTTAAAAGCCACCCCTTCCCGTTGGGTACCCTTATTGTCTCATCTCTCCCACCATCCTGGCTCCATCTGGGTCACCAGCCTCACCCATTCCGAGCAAAGTTGGCCCAGAATTTCATCACCATCTTGCTGAGATTGATCTCCTCCTCTGAGGTGCCACCTGTGAGCAATAAGAATAATCTTTTGACTCAGTTCACGGTTCACAAGCTAATGAGAGTAGTATCACTTAGGGGATTATTAGAGAAGTAGAGTTTGCACTTTCACACCAAAGCCTTTGAGTCAAAATCTTCATTCCTGGAAGACTGCGTTTCGCTGGTGTGTACTTTCACTTTGGGAATGACTTATCCAGGACACTGCAGGTAGGCAGGCACGTAGTGCATTCTGCTGGCAGTGATCCATATCCAACTCTAGGCTCCTTGATATGGAAATACCACAGACAATGAATCCAGTGAACCACAGGGTTCGCAGGACTGCTGGACCTTGTATCTTTTCTTAGTATTACCCACAAACCCACAATTAGATGTACTATTGTCCTAAGATATAATCTTGGGAGCTGCTTAGGAGTGTGTCATAAATAACCAAAAAGTGGCTCACTGCCAGTCATGAATCACAGCAACTGCTGGAAGTCACAGTATTGAAAACATTCTGAGAAGTTTTCTCTAGATATTGTATTATTAATTATAATATAGGTAAAGTATCACATGTGGTTAGGTATGCCTATGGGCAGACAGATGCACATGACAATTGATTCATGCTCAGGAACAGCTTGACCTCATCCTCACTCACATTCTGATAAGTCATTTTGAGTGGGAAGTGAAGCAACAATGGCATTCTTGTCTTCTAATGAGACACTTAGGTGATCCATTTCTCTTGGTGCTATTGCTGGTCCAGATCCCGTTACAGAGTATTGCTGGCTTCCTCTGAGTATGTACCTTTCCTCATGTATGCTGGAATGGGAGAAAGGCTTGGCACTTGACAATTGAGCTCAGCCCTGCTACCCTGAGTTGGGAAATGGACACCAAGAGAGGAGGAGAAATGTGCTCGAGGCCATAGGAGCAAAACGGGAACCCAGACTTCCTAATCGCAAGCTCATAGGCAGCAAAGCACCATTACCTCTTAAAATCGGGGCACCGAAGACGGAGTAGACTTCATCCCCATGGTCTCCACTCACTGTCTTGGGTTTCAATTCTGATGAGAAGCTTGGGTGATATTGAAATTCGTACATGTAGGTGGGGGCACCAGCATCTGGGAAGACATGTATTCACATACAGTTCATGTTGCCAGACACAAGCCTGGATGGTACCAAGGGCTTTGTAATGCAAGAGACCTCTGACCATCAGTGCAACAGAGAAATGGTTTAACTAAAGCTTCTGGATGTGTTTAGCACTATGCAGTTTGTAGAAGTGAAAAGTGATGTTCATGTGAGGGAAACGATTTATGAATGCACTGCATCCAGGAAGCACACTGGATTGTTCATTGATAACCCATCAGCATTCATATTCATTTATTTTAAGAGCCACAACTTCCTGAGTGTCCTGTATTCAGCTCCATTTTCAACATTCTAAGTGTTTTTCTCATCTATTCAGGAAAATGTAAAGCACTTCCAAGATCCTTGTCTGAAAATGAGGGTTTCTAAAGACAAATACGGGCAGATATGGAGCACTGGTCACTTTTGTCTCAGGAATACAACGTTGGAGAAAGCTGTCCTTCAGAAGTGATGGCAGCTTTTTCAGATAAGTCAAGCCTTATGAAACTCATCACTCTAGACATGCTTTACAGGAACCCTTATACTTTTTCAATTTAAGCATGGAGATGATAATGGATAACATGAGACAAATGAAAGCACAAAAGTCAGTGATACAGAACAACAAACAATATTCAGAACATCTAGCATGGCCATGACAAATATTATAAATCATAACTAAATGAAATAAAGCTACAGCCAAAATATTTTCCATGACAAAGTGATATACATTCTGACCTCAAAGACACAAAAGTGCATAGTAAAGGGGTGTGAAATGTGGAGTTGTTATAGCAATCAAAATTGTTCTTGCCATCCTACACCAAAGCATCTAAGTATATAAATCAAGTGTTAGAAGGTCTGAAGAGCCAGAAAGGTAGGTTGTAATACAATAATAAAGGGGGCTTCAATACAAGAACACTATTAATGATGGATCATTCAGATAGAAAATTCCTAAGGAAACAGATCTTGAACAGTATTTTGAAAAATCAGTCTAATAGCACCGTACAATATACTCCACCCAATGCCAACACAACAGCTATTATTTCACAGAACAGTCTGTAGAACATATCCCAGTTGAGGACACAACACAATCATCAGCTAATACAAGGAGACTGGAATTAGTGCAAGTATCATGGATTGAAACTAGACATCAACAACAGGAAGAATTTTAGAAAATTCATAGACTGATGGAAGGAAACATGGTCCCGAGCCACTGATATGTCTGTTATGAAACTAAGTGGAAAAATTAAAGCATATTGAAACATGGCTGGAGAGATGGTTCAGTGGGGAAGATTTGCCACATGGGAGTGAGGAAAAGTGTTTGGATGCCCAGTATACATGTACATACAGCCCACCTGTGGCATTACAGACTGATGTAATCCTAGTGGGCTCGAGGCAGAGCTAGGGGATCTCCGGAGCAAGCTGACTAGTTAGACCAGCTGAACTGTCAAGCCCTGAGTTCAAGGCAGAGGCCCTGTCTTCATGTATAAGGTGGAGAGCAACAGAGGTCTGGTCCTTACATTCACACACACAAGTATGTGCCCACACCCATGAACATTCGTGTGTGTGTGTGTGTGTGTGTGTGTGTGTGTGTGTATGAAAATGGAGTCACAGCTTCCTAAAACTTATGGGATATAGCAAAAGCAGTTGCATGAGAAACATTCATAGCATTAAACAACTACATCTAAAAAGAAGCAAAGTGTCAAATGACTTACAGTCACACCAAAGGGACCTAAAGAAACCAACAAAGTAAATCCAAGGATAGCAGGAAGGAGAAAGAATCAGGATTAGATAACAGGCCTGGAGAGTCGGCTCAGCAGTTGAGTACGAACTGCTCTTCTAGAGGATTTGCTTTCAATTCTCAGCATCCACATGGAGGGTCACAGCAACCATACATAGCTCCAGGAGATCCAATTCCTCTTCTGGCTTCCATGGACACAAGACACACACATGGTGCCCAGACATGCATGAAGGCAAAATGCCCACAAACATAAAACTAACTAAACAAGAATATTTTTTTAAAGTGAGTTCTGAAACTATAAGAAAGAATAAGAGAAATCAAGAGTTTCTTTTCTTTTCTTAAGAAGAAAAGCAAGACTAACAAACCTTTAGTAAAACTAAGAAAAAGAGAAAAGACAGAAGTAAAAGAAATGAAGATCTGGTATTATAAATGATGCCACAGAAGTACAATGGAGCATAAGAGAGCATTACAAACTATTTTATACACACAACCTGGATAACCTCAGAGGAAAAAAGACGTTTTCCATCTAGTATAGTCCACAAAGAACGAAGTAACGTCTGGAGAGTTGGCTCAGTGGTTAGGAGGAATGGTGCTTTTCCGGGGGACTGGAGTTTGTTCATAGCACCCACATTGGGGAGCTCACAGCCATCCATAACTGCAGCTCCAAGAGACCCAATACAGTCTTCTGACTTCTACAGCACCTGTACATGTGCGCACGCACACACACACACACACACACACACACACACACACACACACACACACTACAAATAGATTGAATTAGTGATAATATAAGCCTCCTACCTATGAATAAACATCCCACACATTCTGATAACTTCACAGATGAATCACACCAATCACAGAGAAAAACTAGTATCAGCTCAGACATTCTCCCTAAATTTCTTTAAAATTCAGGGATATAGGAGTAGTTCCAGGACAGCACTCCCTTCAAACTAAAATAAGACAAAGACATTATAAGAACAATTCAATAGCAAATATACCATATCTTTTATAAGTATAGATATATAGCACTCAAGCAAATGCTAGTAATGAAATATAACAGCACATTTAAAGGCTAATCCACTTTGATGCATTAAGATTTATCACTGAGCTACAAAAAATGATTCATTTTTGTGATGTGGAACATTACAGAATGATAGACAAAAACCAGATGATCATCTCCATTAAGGCCAGCCTGGTCTATATAATGAGTTCTAGACCAGCCTACATAGTGAGACTCTGTCTGAAAAAATAAAAACAAAAGTAGACAGAAATGTTCACATTACACAGTGTTCAATTGGTTCTGTGCAATTCCTATCAAAATTCCACTGTCGATATACACAGATACATAAAAGTAATTCTAAATTCATATGAACTCACATGGATGAGAGTAAAGATGCGCACACACACACACACACACACACACACACACACACACACACATACAAATGCACACATGCAGGTTCATACTAAATCAAGGCAATCATGAGTAACAAGAACAAAGCTTTCATGCTATACTAAAACTCATGTATTTAGAATAAAAAAGTACTTGCAACAACAACAAGAATAAAAAAGAAAAGGTAGACACACTGACCAATAGAATCCCATAAGGAACCCCAAATGAAGTCAAGAGCCTAAAGTCAATTGTGATTTGAATACGACAAGACTTTCTATTTTGTGAGAAAAAATTGTGTGCTGTATCTTTCACCTAGAATAAACAGAGTCTCTAGTTATTATGTATTCCTTATTGTTGTTGTACATTAAAGAAAGTAAAATTAGAAAAAGAAAGTCACTTCAGAAATCACTGTTCAGAAAAGTGAATTTCCATATGCAGAAGTGTTGGACACTTATCTCACATGATTTGCAAGAGGAAAATTAGAAAACTGGAGTATAGTCTAATCCACAATCAGAAACTAACTATAAGAAACACAGAGGAAGAAAAAACTATGACATTGCTGGAATATGACTCTCTGTATTTGACCCCAGAAGTGGAGACAACCCAGGCAAAAGTTGTGAAATGGGATGGATAGCTCCCTGCAAAGCAAAGGGAAAATAATGAACAGTCTACACAGACAACCCATTTCTGATTGTGTGTATGCATGTGTGTGTGTGTGTGTGTGTGTGTGTGTGTTTGTCTGTGTGTGTGTGTGTGTGTGTGTGTGTGTTTGCATGTGTGCAAGGTAGAAAGTATTTTCAAATGATATGTCCTATAAAGGGTTGCTATATAAATTATCTAAGGAATATGAATAATTGAATAGCAGGGAAAAAAGCAAACCAACAACCCATTTATTTGGGTAAAGATCCAGACCTGGGGGCACACGGAGGCAAGGTTGAGCACACCTGTATTCCGAGCACTTAAGAAACAGAGTCAGGAGGATATCAAGCTCATGGCCAGGGCTAACCTTGTCTAAATAGAAAGAATTTGTCTCACAAAGAAAAGAAAATGACAAGGACTTGAGTAGACATTTCTTATAAAAAGGCATAAAAGTAAAAATGGATGACAAATAAATCAAAATTGTTAACATCAATGATCACTGAGATAATGCAAATTGGAATCACAATGAGTTAGTATCTTTCCCAGACTGTATGTATTTTATAAAAAGTTAATAATAGCCGGGTGGTGGTGGTGGTGGTGGTGGCACACGCCTTTAATCCCAGCACTTGGGAGGCAGAGCCAGGCCGACGTCTGTGAGTTCAAGGCCAGCCTGGTCTACAGAATGAGATCCAGGACAGGCTCCAAAGCTACACAGAGAAACCTTGTCTCAAAAAAAAAAAACAAAACAACAACAACAAAAATAAAAAGCTAATAATAACAAGTAGTGTTGGCAAGGATGAGAAGAAAAGGAAACTTATCTGTACAACTTGTGTACTACTAAACACGAGGACAGTGTTTAAAGCAAGTTAAAAATGGAATTGACATGCGACAGGTTGATCCCATGTTTTTCATTTAACCCCCCAAACTTGAAACCAGTGTGTTGAAAAATGCAATTGCCCCATGATTGCACTGCTCACCAAAGTCAAGTCATGGAATTACTGTGTGTCTATCAATAGCTACAGACTGCTGGCAATGGTCGAGATACAGCCCGAACTGACCTACTCTGGTGATGGGATGGCCAAACACCCTAATTGTCGTGCTAGAAACCCCATCCAACTACTGAGGGATCTGGATGCAGAGATCCATGGCTAGGCCCCGGGTGGATCTCTGGGAGTCCAATTAGCGAGAATGAGGAGGGTTTATATGAGCGAGAATTGTTGAGACCAAGGCTGGATAAAGCACAGGGACAAATAGCCAAATGAATGGAAACACATGAACTATGAACCAATGGCTGAGGGGTCCCCACTGGATCAGGCCCTCTGAATGGATGAGACAGTTGATTGGCTTGATCTGTTTGGGAGGCATCCAGGCAGTGGGACCAGGTCCTGTGCTCATTGCATGAGTTGGCTGTTTGAAACCTGGGGCCTATGCAGGATCGCTTGGCTCGGCCTGGGAGGAGGGGACTGGACCTACCTGGACTGAGTCTACCAGGTTGATCTCAGTCCACGGGGAAGGCTTTGCCCTGGAGGAGGTGGGAATGGGGGGTGGGCTGGGGAGAAGGTGAGGGGGGCAGGAGGGGGGAGAACAAGGGAATCCATGGCTGATATGTAGAACTGAATTGTATTGCAAAATAAAAATAAAAAAATTAAATTAAAAAAAAAAGCACTTGCTTGCCTTCTAGAGGACCCTAATTTGGGTCCCATGACCTTCTTCTGGCCTCTGCAGGAACCAGCAGAAACATGACATACACACACACACACACACACACACACACACACACACACACACACACACACACACATACACACATGCACACAAACACACAAACAAACACACTTGCACATAAATAAAATATAAAGTAAGAATTTTAAAAACCTTCCCAGAAAGTTAGGGAGAGCAATCCAGAACAGAGCATTATTTGCTGGCTTGCAGATTACATGAGTGAAAGCTGGGAGAGAAGGGCTCCACAAATGTCGACTGTGAAGGTCCCCATCCCTGTGGTGAGCTCATTCCCCCTAGCCTCACAGCCATGCCCAGCACTGAGTCACCTAGGAAGGTTCTGTGACAGACCTCAGCCTTCATATCCTGGCACACTCAGATGGACAGATGCTAGCCAAGAACACTGAGAGTGCCTGTACTCTTACCCACCACAGGTCCCCTCCCTCACTGGCCGTGGTCACAAGCACCCTTCCTGATTCTTTGCCTCATTCCTACTCTTCCTAGCTCCGCCACTAATACTCTAAAACTAGCTCTGACCTTGAACCCCTTCTAAAACCCCACCTAGTAGCTGACCTCTAACCCCATGTACCAGTGTAACTTCAGATAAGGGCCCCTGTGACAGATGATGTGTCACTCGTTCCTGTTTGCAGCCTGACTTCTGTCTGCCTCCACCACCTGTCACTCTTTACCTGAGGGCTCTTTGTCTGGTTACTACACACTATTCTGTCTACTTACACAGCAGCCCAGCACCCAACAAAACGGCAACCATTTGTACCAGGCTTAGCCTAATGGTTGATGATGGAGAAATGCCCCGACTCCCTACCACTCAGGTGAGATCTCCTTGAAACATGAGTTCTGCTTCTTTCCCAGCCCTCTGCAGTTCCATCTCCGGTGGATGGATGCTTAGCCAGGCATCATTCATTGGCCTGCATTTCCTTCCAGTGTCAACTCGCCATTTCCCAACTCATGTTTTCTGGGACCAACACCCTTTTAATTCCCTTGCATTTCATTTTTTCCTCAGATAATGTCGTTGGCACAAGTCAAGAGGACAGTGTGAAGATGAGGCCAAAAAGTCAGTCTTAGAGGCTTGGTGTCCACAGTTTTCACATTTACATATGCCAGGCCATAAGCCGGTCAGAGAGGAAAGTGGTAAAATAAGGGGTCCATCTCCTGTCCAACCTCTGGAACTCACCTCTATGTCCACGAGCCACAATCACAGATGGGACACCAAATACCACATCTCCAATCAGTTCCAGAAGCTGTTCTTTATTGCTGCCTGGGTCATCTGTGTCTCTTAAATACTTCTCAATGACAACTGGAATCTTATCCTCTGGGAGGTTCTAGAATGGATGAGGAAAATGACCACTAGCATGTGATTTGTGTGCCTTCGCCATTTCATTGACTATTAACCTCTTGAGCCCTGGACAAATTCCTCCTGGGTAGTAATGTGGGAAGGTCAGAAAAAAATGGGGTCAGAAGGAAGACCCCAGTCATGTCATGACATTTGGTAGGTTTGTATCTGGGGCAAATTCACAGCTTTTCTTTGTCTCAAAGAAGTTGACATAAATGACAAGTTGACATAATTCCGAGTGCTTACAAGAATAAAAGAGGACTTCCGTAAGAGGGATGTAACCGTCTTCTGGTCCAATGTCACTTCAGAGGGTGGATAGTTCATCATCTGTTTAAAAACACAGTAAAGTATCTTTGAATCCTCGGGAGTTAGCAGAAGGAACCAAACAGGCCAAGTATACTGGCTGGTTTTGTGTGTCAACTTGACACAAGCTGGAGTCTTCAGAGGAGAGTGAGCCTCGGTGGAGGAAATGCCTCCATGAGATCCAGCTGTAAGGCATTTTCTTAATTAGTGATCAATGGGAGAAGGCCCAGCCCATGGTGGATGGTGCCATCCCTGGGCTAGTGATCCTGGACTCTATAAGAAAGCAGGCTGAACAAGCCAGGGAATGCAAGCCAGTAAGCAGTACTCCTCCATGGCCTCTGTATCAGCTCCTGCCTCCAGGTTCTTATCCTGACTGTTTCCCATAACGAACAGCAATATAGAAGTGTAAGCTGAATAAACCGTTTCCTCCACAACTTGCTTTTGGTCATGGTGATTCGTTGCAGCAATAGAAACTCTAAGACACCAAGCAATTAAGGCAAAGTGGAATGAAAGTATTGCATTGGGCTTTGATGTGCATGGCTGTTGATGAGTTTTAAAACAGATGGACTTGTGCCTATGGAAACCTCACACCCAAGGACCCCAATATATGAGAATAAATAGCATTAATCCTTTTTGTAACCTCTTTGGAATGTAAACACATGGGATGACAATTCTTGTTCTATCTTTCAATCTCCAATCTTCTAATGGTAGTGGTGGCTTTGTTCCATCTTGGGCTTCTATCTGCCATGAAGTCTGTCCTCCTCCTAACAGATGAGTTTTGAATAGGAATCCAGTATCTAGTTGTACAGACTCTCCCCTCTCTCCACAGTTTCTCTCCAAGCACCTGATCCTTGAAACCTCACCAGGGTTAGAGATGTTTCTAGTCGGGACTTGAGTTCAGGTCATGTTTGAGCTTCTCCCTTTTCCTACCCTCTTAGTGAAGGTGACCTGCCTTACTCTTTTACCTAATGTCTAGATTTTCTTTTATCTGTGAAAAGGAAAAGCCCTTCTTCCCCTTTAAAAGTGTGTTTTAACTCATGAGGGAGTGACTTTGAATCTTTTAATGATTAGTAATGCAAGCATATGTGGAGATTGATGGGAAGCATGTTCAGGTCCATGGTGGAAACTGTGATTTCCAAGTCTGACTCTCCTGAATTTCCAGCCATTTTCCATTTAGAGACACCCCCTGTTTGTCTGATTGCCTGAATCTTATCTCCATAGGCTCTCTCAGCCTGGACACTTCAAGCACCTAAGTTTAATGGAATGACAAAGTGTTTATTGAATTAGGATTTCAAGGACTGGACCACCCAGAGTCAAAGTTAGCTCAGGAAGAAAATGTCTCAATGGAAGCATCCATGGACAACTAGAGACAGATGCTCTAGACACAACCAGAGGTTGTGGAAGAAAGAACTCATGTTAGAAGAATAATGGACAGGCGATGGGGTTGTCTTATCTAAGAGGTCTGTACGTTCTCACCATTGGCAGAATCCAGCCAAACTCCTGCTTGTTGATGCCCACCATGTAGGGCACAGTGTTGAAGCTCTTCTCAGCCAGGATCTCTTCTGGGGCCTTTGGCAGCAACACTCCATCAAGCACAGTGGGAACAAAGGGATAGCTCTGGGGGAGGAATCACACGGTGCCAGCAATAACCCATCTCCCTCGCTGACTTTCTAAGGGAGAATCCAGAATATAAACCCTGTGACTTGGGTAGGGGACCTGGGAACTTGGGGTCCTAAAAAGGAAATTAAGGGTCTATGTGCCAATAAGGCCTAGTTTGGGGTATCTCTCAGTGGTAAGTTGAGGGTGGCAAGGAAGGAACAGGAGGGCCCTTAGCTGAAATTAAACATATACCATTGTGGAATATGTATTTCCACCTGAAGTAGATTACATCATTCAGAATGAGTCTCACTATTCCTGATGGTTATGCCAGTAAAGTTGCCACAATGCTGCATTAGTGAATCCTGAGCTAGGACTCCTAGGGAATTCCAGAGCTAGGTTCCTTGGAACCTCTGCTCACAATATTGTCATCATCCTTGTATTATATGTGGGTCCCAGTTTTAAAGACATGCTATATAACACATATTTATTATAAAGAATTAGCCTACAATAGAATTTATTATAAGACACCAGATTGATAGGGATTAGCATTTCTTCAACCACAGGTCACATACGAATACATTTCTTTGGCTTCAGAGTCACAGTCATGAAGTCTACTATGATTTTTAAGTGCATTGTCTCATAAATCCACTAATTTATCTAATTTTCCATCTTTTCTGGCTTTGTCACAAACTAAAGGTATCACATGGCTGCTCTTTAGCATGGCTTCCCCAAGAGCTAGGCAATTCTCTCCCTTTTTTGTATTTATTGTCATGTTGACTCAGCACAGACTTCAAGGTTGAGAAGCACAGTAACTCAAGCCTGGCAGAAGCCCATCTATCAGGAGTGTTTTCTCCATAAGGCTCTTCATAGCCTAAGACAGACTTGGGGACACTGGACATATCAGCATCACTGTGCTCTAAAGCATCTTCAGCAGAGAAATCACTTAAAGCAGTAAACACCGAAGAGTGGCAGGAAACAGCCCACCAAGTGGACATATGCAATTATGAGTGATGAGACAAGAAGATAAAGCATTATTGCAAATGGGATGCTAGGACCACGTGACTCACATTTGGCTCACACCTCCCATGCTCGGTGCAGGTGTTGCAGATGACCACAGTAATGTCACACTTGTGGACCTAGGGCTTATATGTTCACTTTAGCAAGTAACTAAATCCATAATTTATAAGATCTATAATTGATGGCGAGCTACATGTCTGTATTAATATTCTAAATTAGCTGTTTTTGAAAAAAACAATTAGATTTTAGCTGGTTGAGATATCACTAAACCATGTTGCAGTTAAAAATTAAATATAGAGAACAAAGAAAATACTGCTGAAAGAAAGAAGCATAAGCCACATATTTGGCCCACTGTCAAGATGTGCCAAATACCTCTTCAAAATGCCCAGACCTCAAGTACTGTCCCACCAAGACCCTCTGCCTTTGTAACTGCTGTGTATAGATCTCCCAGGTGGCTCAGTGTCTGCCCTGGCTCTTTCCTACACATCACACTATTTCCACACTGAAGTAGAGGAGACTTTTGTGAGTCCATGAGGTCGTTGCTCTGCCAGAGTCCTCTGGACATGCACTGCTTCATGTTGATCACAAGCCAAGTCCTGTCTGCAGTGTCTCCCTTCTCACGTTCATGACCAACTTGGCTTCAGATCTCTTTCTTCCTCCTTGCCTCCACCCCAAACATGCCAGCTCCTTCCGCAGGGCTTGGCAGCTGCTCTTCCCTCTGCCTGTAGCATTCTTCCTCCAGGTTTCCTGACAGCTGGCTTCCTGGCCCTATCCAGAGCTTCACTCATGAACAAGCACATAAAAGACATCTCCTCTGACCCTGCCATTTACAGAAAACCGCTGGCCAACTCTCACCACCCCTCCTAGTTTTTAATTTAATTCTAATTGACAGAAAACATGCATATTACGTGTTCTTACATACATTAATCTTCTGCTACACACCTCACCCACTAGGACATAAGTCTCCAAGAAAGCAGGAGATTGTACATACCTCACTGTCACATCCCAGCTGTTAAATCAACCCCCGACACAAAGGGAGTCCTTAATAAATCATCTTTGGATGATTGAAAGAATCTCATTTCCCTCTCAGAAGACCCTTTAGGGAAGTTCTGGGATACCCCAGGGTTTAAACAAAGAGGACAGCTGACAACAGCTGGCATTGGGAAGGCAGGAGGGAGGAGACAGAGGGTGATGTTGCACTTTCCCAGGTCATAGGAGAATAGAAGTCTGGCTCCTCTCTGTACAGCCTCTGCTCTGTTCCTCCCGTGAAACCCTTAACTAGGCATCTCTGCCTCCTTAGAGTGGAGAGTTCTAGTGGCGCCTCCCCCTGCAGGCTCATTTCTGGAGTGAGGAATATGAATGAGAAGGAAAAGAAGCAGCCCAGGGCACCTAGTTGCTGACCAGGAGCCCTCTACAGAGAGTTGTGGGTAAGTTCAACCCCTGCCACCTCTGATCTCTCTGTCTGTGCTAATTGACCAGCGAATGACTGATTCCCATCTCTGGGTCTCAGCAATGCACACGTGGGAATGACCAGAATTCCACAAACAGAAGGATTATGCATAGTTACTTGGGGTCAAACACTGTTAAGACTCAAGGGAAGTCTATCCCAGAATGCAATGGTTCTTACCTCTCTGGAGTCTCCATGCAAATCCAGCTTAAAAAGATTCTGTGAAGAGAAGACAGAGCATGTGTTAAGAAGCCTTCCCTATACAAAGTAGAGCCTCTGAGCTGTGTTTGGAGAGTAATCAGTCCTTCCTTTCTGGTTCCTACAGTGTCCTCTGTGGGTAGGCACTGTGTGTGTGTGTGTGTGTGTGTGTGTGTGTGTGTGTGTGTGTGTGTGTGTGTGTGTGGTGGGAGCAGCAGAGTCATGGTCACTGGTGCTCTGGAAAGGCAGCTTTTGTGGGCGCCTGACCTTTTCTTCATCTTTCCCCCTACTTGTTCTCTCTCACAACAACACCCCAAGTTCCTCTGCAGGAACGGTGAAAACAAAGTGATTGCATGTGGAGCTTGTGGTAACTTGAAGGGAGGTAGGGCTGAGATGAGCTGGAGAAGAAAACACTTCCCAGCCTTCACTTTCTTCTTCCTTATCCTGGTGTCATGAGTTTAGGCAACTATATGTGACATGGGGTTACCATGACCCCGAATATAAATAACAGTTCAAAGATACCTGCAAAAACAGCATAGAACTTACACCAAATATATTGATAAAGTTTGGAGAAACCTGGCTTCCTAACAGATGTCATAGCGATCTTGAGTGCTACTATCTTCAACCTCCCAGGGAACAAACTTTCTGCACAGAGAAGTCAGCCAGAAATGATGGCACATAGAGGGATACATATTGGAAGATTTCCATTACATTCTTGGCACCTGGATTCAGCAGCATCCTGAGCCCCCTGCTCCTGAATGTCTCGGGTCTTAGTTACCTGAAGAGTCTGTCATAGCACGTTCCTGAAGTGAATGCTCTAGTCTTGTGCTGGAAAATTCTCATGTCTGTGCTCACTGTAATTTGTTCTACTCCATGCTTTCCTGTGTTGTACACTCACCATGTTCACAGTGATTACAATGTGACACTTGGCTGATGGATCTGACCCACGTATGGAAAGCAACTCTACATGAGCTACCATAATATTTGGCTCTACCAACCAAGGGACTTAGGTTCTTAGGTTCTTTCTCAGGCTCTCAAGCTCTAAAGATAGAAAGTAATCCTGTATGTTATGGGCATGCCTACGGATGGAAGAAATATTTTCCCATTCTGAGTATACAAACACATCTTTGAAACAGACATCAAGGAGAAAATCTGTAGTCCCACCACTGAAGATGGTAAAACAGGAGAACTGAGAGGCCAGCCAGGCACATAGTGAGGCCATCTCATAAATCTAAAGAGAACAAGAAAGTAGCTGTTCTTAACTCTGAAAGGCTTGAACTTCATTATGTTTTGAGCCTGATGAACCAGAATCCAAGACCCAAGGTCATATTGGATTCAACCCATGGAAATACAAGAAGAACAGAATGCTAGAGATGGTCTATGGGGATCCAGGAGTGTCCTCTAGTATGCAAAGTCTGTATGAAGAGACCAGGCTTTTGACTGAATCCTGAGACAGCATCTGTACTTGTCCTTACAAAGGGAATAGTTATCACATCCCTCTATCTTTTATTTTTCAAATATTTGTCCCATGAGCTTCCCTATGATAATAAACTATCAAAAGCTTATCAGTCCTCAAATGACACCTTCTGTGAATAGGCTGACTCTAAGGAATGCATCTCCTTTCTGCAGTCCCAACACATGTAACCCATTTGATATATGATTGTTTTTCTTTTTGGATTGTTCTGGCAAGCAGAGAAAATGTCTAGCTTATTCTTGCATCTCCTACCATGACACCATGCTTCCAAAATTATCATGGATGGATGGATGGATGGAGTTGGCCAATATATGAACTATTGGTGAGTTGGAAAGATACACCAATAATTAACTGCTTTAAAGGATTGGGTGAAAAGTTACAGATGCTGACTGAATGGCTCAGATTATGGACAAACTGAATATAAGTTGTTGACAAGTCATGATGGTTCTATACTAGACCAAGATAATGGTTTCAATGAATTGGATGGAGGGATGGATAGATGGAAGATAATAAATGGATAGGCAGCTAATTATCCTTGACTCTTCACAGAAGTAGTCTCTGAAAACAGAAAAGTATTTAGAAACTGTTATAATTTAGATACCTTGTAAATCAGCGAAGGTAAATTATGATACCTTTCATAAAATCTTTGTACTTACTGTCCCCATTCTCATTGTTCAGAATGGTAATGTGGGAATGTAGAATTTTAAATTCTTCAAATACATTTGAGAACAAGACTATCACAATATTAAATTGTGAAAGAACTAGGGTACTGTTACACAATTTTTAACATACTTTCATGGAATGTTTTGTGACATTTGATGATTTTTTTCATTATAAAAGAGAGAGATTAAAACCATCTCAATGATATCAGAAGGCTGATGCTGTTGCCAAGAGGTAAGAATGTCTCAGATAGTTTCTCCAAAGCTACAGAAGAGATGAAGTGATGAAGCCTGGGGTAGAGTACAAAGGTTGAGGACCACCAGCACAGGCACACCTACCAGTTTCAGTGTGGTCTCCAAGAGCTCCTCCTCTGTCTTCTGGCGAAGGCAGTGAACCATGGCAGCTGAGGTGGTGGTTTTACAACCGGCCGTAACAGCAATTTTCTTCAATAGATAAGAGGCCACAGCAAAGGTCATGGTCTGAGCAGTATTTATACCTCTGTCAATATAGCAAAGTTCTACTATCCAATACTCACTTTCTAATGATGGTACATGGTTGCCCAAAACACGAAATACCAAGACATGTGGGTCAGAGTGTTGCCTCTGTTACTAACTGGAATTTGATACAGACTATTTAAATATTGGTAGCTGTGTTAAGTTTATAATTTGTTAAGTGGAGCCCAGCATGATGACATGTGCCCTTAGTCCCAGAACTGAGTTTTATGCCAGTCTGATCTATAGAGTGAGTTCCAGGACAGCCAGGATTACATAGTGAGATCCTCTATTAAAAAACAGAAACAAATAATTTATTAAGTGGGCATGCTGTTGTGAATGTAGATGAGTTAAAAGAAGCCATGTGCTCTGTAGTGAAGAAAAAGAACCCAGAATCCTACTGTCTACTATAGAGACACTTCTTCCATGCTCTGGCCAGGTGGCTTGTACACCCAGAAATGAATTGTGTCTATCCTATGAGGAGAAGTGATACATGTGATGTGCTCAGGAGGGTAACCCTTGATGTCACTACAAAACTTGTACTGGATTATAGTGTGTCTAAGGAACATGATTCACACAAAATCACTCCAGAATTTGCAGAGCTTGGTTTAGATGTGAGGCCAAACAAATTCTAACCAATGGCCATGTCAACTTCTTCCCCAGAACATGAAAGATCCATGAGGATAGAAGACAAAAGAACAGAGGAACTACCCAGCAGGAATTTACCTCAGCCAAGGGCCTGGTGTTCTTCTTGACCAGGCCTGCAGTGAGGGCCACTCCACTTTCAGAAATAGCCCTGTGGAAGAGATTCTTGGCCAAGGGAGACAACACCTGGCAGAGGAAAGTAGAAAAGGAGACTTTATACTCATAGTGATTCATAGACTTCTGTGGGACCATGGTTTGGAGTCCATTTGATCATCTTGATGACCAGCATGAAGCCTCAACCTTGGTTCTACTGGATCCTAACCAACGTGGGATGACCTCAGTGGCCCCACATGGCAGTCAGCACCAAATTTTACCTGTACCCATAGCTGAACTTCATTTGGACATACCTCTGGAAAGATTCACAGAAAACATTCCAATAGTCAGAAGAAGGCAAAACTGAAAGACAAGTCCATTCCAACAGACAGGTGTTCACACACTGAATATCAAGGCAGAGAAAGCAGACTACCAAGCTAATGGAAACTGTAATCAAGTAGGCATAGCTATCCTCACAGCTGATAAAGTATATATCAACTAAAACTAATTAGAAGAGATAAAGAACACTACATATTGATAAAGTGAATAATTCATCTAGAAGATGCAGCAATTATGAAGCAAATATATGGAGCCTTATAATTTCATAAAACAATCACTAAAAGGCATAAAAGAACATCTAAGACATGGACACAATAATACTGGAGGACTTCAATACCCAACTCTCATATTGAGAAATGTCTTCCAAACTAAAAATAAGCAAAGAAATTTCAGAACTAAAATACAGCATGGATCAACTGGACTTATCAGATTTATACAGAATATACCACCCCAAAGATAGGGAATACAAAGGCTTCTCAGCTGCAATTGGAACCTTCCCCAAAGCCAATCACACCTCAGCCCACAAATCAGACCTTAAAAAGTGCAAAGAAATTGAAATTATCCCTAATATTTAATGAAATCTCAATGAAGTGAAAGTAGAAATCAATGGTAAGTATTTAAAGTTATTATCTCAAGGCACACAGGAATATTACAAAATCAATATGAATGCAAATATAATAAAATTAATTAACTTTGTCCAGAAACCCATTTTAATTTATTATCAGATTGTAAATAATGCATGGAGGAGATTGAAGTTGTTAGACTGTAAGCATGAAATCAATATGTCATGTGAAAAGCATTGGAACCAAGGAACTGATGGAAGAAATGAATTGCAGTGACTTTTTGTATAAATTAGGAAATTATTTGTAATACTTAGTTATCTCATCAAAGAGCTAGCATGAAACTTGGGCTCTTTTCCTAGAAGCAAATCATTTCAGTTAATGGACAAAAATCTTATGTGCTAAAGTATCCAAAATAACCTTTTGTGAGGACATTTAACTAGAGAATGCAAAAGCTCAAGCTGATTTTTAGGTTTGCTGTAGGGTTACATTTGAAGAAATAAGCCATAACTCTGTATAATTGTTATGTATAGAAAAAGCATGGCAGAATTAAACTAAAATTGGAAAGTTGAAAGAAGCTATATGACATGAATAAGTGAAAGAGAAACAGGAACACACACACACACAGGCTGAAAGGAGAGATGATGGATAGCAGGTAGACAGAAGACAGATGATAGATATGTACAGCAATTGATAAAAATTGTGGTAATGCTACACAAATACATGTCATAATATTCTTCTTGGATTTATCTGCACTTTTCCTTATCTCTAAGGAAAATAAAAACATTGTCCTCTAAGTATTCAGCTAGTAAACCAACACATGTTTGAAAATATGGTGATGGGGTGACACTCTGATCAATTCTCATGACTCCCACAAGTTTCCATGGATTCCCTCTATGTCTCTTGCTCCTCATCTCCATACCAAGATGACTCCCCATACCATTGGAATGTGTCCATGACATGCATTCTTTGTCCTACCTTTCCCTGTTGGAGTATCTGTCTATCTTTCCTCACAACCATCTCTCTTTTCCCAACTGGCCCCCAGTCCCAGATACTGCTGCCCTTCTTATTGGGTTTTCAAAACCATGAGACCATCTCAGATGACCCTCTGTCAGCTCCCAGTGCTCCAGTTCCTTCAATGTGTATGTCTAGCCTGGAGTCAAACAGTGATGCCTGCTCTACCTCATGCCCTTCCCTTTTACTATCTACAGTTTACTCCCAACACTCCTTCCCAAGAATGTATTCTTTGCTAACATGATCAGAAAAGAGAAAGAGAATTCAATTAAGTGAGAAGAGAAATAATATGCAACAGGTATTTTTTTTATGGTGAAACATAGAGGTACCTCTAGGAGCCAAGGAGGATTTGGTTCTTAGTCATCCACTGTCTAATGCTGAGCAATAAAAGAATCAACTTGAATCTGACAGTACCAGGCAAATATCATGATAGCCTGGAATAACTCAGTTTAAAAATTAGGCCTTAATTTCTGCCTCTTGAAGCTGAACAGACAGTTTCTGAGGAAGCCATGAACAAAGGGCAATCAGTCTTCAATGTCCATGACAGCAGTGAAGAGGGAGTTAGCATGTACCAAGCCTGGGCCACTGAGCCAGCCCCCACAGTCAGTGTGTACTAGGCCAGCCAGCCTCCACAGCAGCTCAAGATGATAACCAAACAAGAACAGAGACTGGGACTCATCCAGGCTTGCCTCAAAATGGAAAAGCTATAGCCTTAACCAACCCCTGACTAGCCCTAGACAGTTAGAATGTATTAATATGATTCCCACTCACGTAAGCCAATCATATCTGAAATGATCTAACTGTCCCTGAAACTCCCATTAGCTGGGCTTAAAAGGAGCTTACACATCCCTCTCAGGGTTGTTGCCATTTTGCCTTTGTGTAGGATGAACTGAACGGCCCCAGCATGCTGATATAATAAATGCTCATGTTGATTGCATACATGGATGGTGGTCTTTTTGTGGGACTTCTCCAGGACCCTAACAAATCCAGATATTGAAAGCAAAGTTCCCATTGCTGGACTGGCTGGTCTCCAAGGGATCTTATCAGCAGTTATCATGCCTGGATAAGGCCTGGTTGCAGACACTTACAAGAACAGAGACACTTTCACCTCCTGCTGACTCTCCAAAGATGGTCACAGAACCTGGGTCCCCTCCAAAGTTGGCAATGTTGTCCTGGACCCAGTGCAGTGCAGCTACCTGGTCCAAGTGACCCCAGTTCCCCCGGCTGTGTTCATCGCCCGTGCTGAAAGAAAACAGGGCAAAGGTAGGTACATCGTGACTGAATTCTCAGAGCTAGAGAGAGGCTGAGGCTCTTAGTGAAATAAGTTGAGCCCTGAATTCCCAACACATGTCTTTGCTGCATCTCTTGTCTCTAGAAATGTTCTATCTGGGATTCTACATGCATCTTCCAGAAACTATGAAGCCTAAGAGCTAGTGAGGAAACAAGGTAGACAAAAGCTCCAACTTCTGCCGGGCGGTGGTGGCGCATGCCTTTAATCCCAGCACTCGGGAGGCAGAGCCAGGTGGATCTCTGTGAGTTCGAGGCCAGCCTGGGCTACCAAGTGAGTTCCAGGAAAGGCGCAAAGCTACACAGAGAAACCCTGTCTCGAAAAACCAAAAAAAAAAAAAAAAAAAAAAAGCTCCAACTTCTGAGTATATTCAGTTCACACTGTGGAGGACAGTAAATGGGAGTCAAGAAATTATAGTATTAAGTAATGAAAGTGCCTTGAAGAGAAATAAAATCAGCTTACAAAAAATTCAGGGATGGGGACTGTGGGTGGTATTTTCTGGTTGCAGGACCAAGAGAGGGCTCTTGGAAGCAGTGGTCATTAATAGGGACTCGAATAAAATGAGCAAATGAGCTTATGGATATCATAAAATATTATTCCTGTTAAAAGAAGCAGCAGGTGTAAAGACCTCTAGGAACAGAAGTGTGAGTGTAGCTAGCAGCAGGCAGGACAGGTGCTGCGGGCCTTGGCAAGGAGTTTTTGCCATTACAAGTGGGTGGGAACTATCTGCAGAAACAAGATGTGATTCAACCAGTGTCTCTCACAGCACTCTGGCCACTCTGTAGAAAATACATGCTTTAAAAGTAACTGGTTTATTAAAAAAACAAAACAAAAAACAGTGGTTATAACAATAATCTAGTCCAAACTGTAAGACTTTGATTAGAGTGGAAGCAGGGAGTAGATGAGAAGTCCATAGAATCAGTTTGTTTTGAAGGTGAAGCCAAAAGGACTGGTTGGTTGGTTAGACACTAAGTGTAGGAAAAGGAGGATTCCCAAGTGTCCCCCAAAGCTTTTCTGTTGGACAACCAGGAGGTGGGATGGACAGCAGCTGTTCAGCAGTATTCAGGAAAAGGAGGGAGGTTCTGTTCTGTTCTCCTTGCCTGGAATAGCAGAAGCTTGGCATGACTCAATCCACCGCCTAGAGCACTGTGACCACTCTGCAAAAAAGTGCTTTAAAACTAGCTGTTATCTATGTCTGGGAAAGCAGAGAGAACAACACACAAATCTGCACAGAAGCAAGTGTAGTGATTGGAGAATTAATGGACAGGCAAGGTCCCTTACTGAAGGAGCGGGATGCATTGTGAAGGAGGTCTAGTAGAGGTTTCAAAAATGCATGGCATTACTGGATCTGGGTCCCGGCATCTTTGACCTGGCAAATGTTGCATTTTGGATGTGTTCATGTGAAGGGATTATGGAGTAACAGAGCCTGTAAAATGTGAGGCCCCAGTGGAATGTCATTAAGCCACTGGGTGCATTGCCCTTAGAGGTGTTCAGCTCACTGGGCCAAGGCTAGTTCCCTAGTGAGGCAGTTATACAAAGAACAAGACTTCCCAACTCCTCCCTCCAGCTTTTTGCCTCATCATACCATCTCTTCTGCTTGCTGCAGATTCCATTTCTGTCCCTCTACCATGTTGATCTCAATAAGGGCCCTCACCAGATCTCAAACAGAAGAAAGAACCATATTCTGGATGTTAGCCCCTTAAAACTTAAACTCAATAAGTATTTTCCTTATAAATATCATAAGATCTGGTGTTGTGATATATAATAAGAGAACAGACTAATATGGGGGCTTGTGTGTAGAAAAGAGTTTAAAACTCTACCTGAAGAATCCCCAGATGCCCAGACGGTATTGAATGGCCACGACTACCACGTTTTCATGGGTAGACAGGGCCAATCCATCATAGGTTGATGCCCCACCCAACACTAGTCCACCTCCATGGATCCACACCATCACCTGGAAAAGGACACAACACAGATTGTCAGAAGCCTCCGCTGGAGGGCCATAGAAGTTGTCTAGTTTGGTTGCCTATATGTAGGCTAAGTAGGGCATCACCCAAGCCACAGTAGTACCTAGCAAGGCTGCAGCAGGCAGTCTTTTCCCCTCAGTTCCCTCAGCTGGGGTGAGTCATCCTGCTCATCATTTCTCACCCGTCTTCCAGAATGCATGGGCCCTGTCTTTACAGGTCTCCTTAAACTGAAAACATCATCATGGAAGCATCCTCCTGGCAGGGCTTTGTGTGAATGGCTCATGTTTGGCTTTCTCAGATTCTGCATCTGACTGTGCACATAGTGACGCTGAGCGCAGCAACAGGATGAATGAATGACAGCCCCGCCCTGTGCCTCTACATTAGAGCTAGTAAAAGGTCTCTCTCCTCTCTCCTCTTCCCCCTCCTCCTCACCTCCTCCCCTTCCCCACCCTTTCCTCCTACTCCTCTGCCTCTTCCTCCTCCACCCTCTTTCTGAGAAAAGGGTTTGATCTTTTTAAAAGACAATGTAGCTATGGCTGGCCTGGTACTTGCTATGTTGCCCAGACTGACATCAAACTTGCCCAAATCCTTTTGTCTCAGCCTCTTCAATACTGGGGTTGCATATGTGAACCCATATTGCTTCTCCTAAGTGGCCTTTTCTTGACTAGTCTTTTTCTCTTCTGTTGCAGAGGAACACACTCAAGGCCTCGAACACCCAGGCGACTACTTTACCATGAAGCCACTCTTTGTCCCTCTTGCCTATCTTGATGCCCACCACCAGTTCAGCAGGCTGAGGTGGTGATCTGGAGAAGAGAGCAGAATCACTGACAGTGGAAACAAGAGCTTCAGAGCCAGACATCCTGAATTATAGTGGCAGAGGCAGGGACCACAGGGGAGCATTCTGAATTACAGTGGCAGAGGCATGGACCACAGGAGAGCATCCTGAATCACAGTGGCAGAGGCAGGGACTACAGGGGAACATCCTGCATCACAGTGGCAGAGGCATGGACTACAGGAGAGCATCCTACATCACAGTGGCAGAGGCATGGACTACAGGGGAACATCCTGCATTACAGTGGCAGAGGCATGGACTACAGGAGAGCATCCTGCATCACAGTGGCAGAGGTATGGACTACAGGAGAGCATCCTGCATCACAGTGGCAGAGGTATGGACTACAGGGGAACATCCTGCATTACAGTGGCAGAGGTATGGACTACAGGGGAACATCTTGAATTACAGTGGCAGAGGCATGGACTACAGGAACATCTTGCATTACAGTGGCAGAGGCATGGACCACAGGGGAGCATCCTGCATCACAGTGGCAGAGGCATGGACTACAGGAGAACATCCTGCATCACAGTGGCAGAGGTAGGGCCTATCGCAGGTGGAGACAGCACAGTTGTGTCAGCAGAATGGTGGAGTTGACAGCAGTGTCAGAAGCCAACAGCACAGCAGGAACCGAGCCAGCAGCAGCAGAGGTCATGACATTAGCAATGACAGCATTGGTAGTAGCAAAATGCAGCAGTAGTGACCACCTTAGAAATGGCAGCTACGATAGTGGCTATAGCAGTGAGGCAGCTGAAGTGTTCCAGAGAGTAACAAGGACAGACAGAAGAGGAATGGGAGAAGTAAAGAGGAGAGCGGGTGGGGATCTCATAGAGGAATAGGACTAATAAAGCCAAAGATGAGGAACTATAGGTCTTGGCTGCTAGAAGAGCTCCAGAGAACTGTCTAGTCTTAAGGACCCAGGGTCTCAGCAACCCTTGTTTCTGGCTAGATCTGTAGCAATGGCTGCTATCAGAGGCTGGGAGATCTTGATATCCAGGCCGACAGCTTTAATGCTTACTGTGGTGTAGTGCTGGGGAATCCCAATAGCTACTTAGAATTGGAAGCTGCAATGCTAGTCTCTGTCCAGAGCAGGGAGTGTAGCCTGGCAGCTACTCTCGGGGGCAATGGGACCCTCACTTCTATAACTGCCAAAGAACTATAACATTGGTCGCCATAGGGCTAGGAGCTCCAGTTCCAGAAGCCTTCCCAATATCTGCCACACAGCAGGATGCCACCTGCTGCCCCAGCTGTGGGCCACTGCCACAGAGGCTGCAGAAGTAGTTTCTCTTCTCACTGACCCATGATTCCCAGGGTAAAGACTGATGCCCAGCAATACTATAGGTGATCAATTTTCCCCTCTATTTGTGTGGAAAAAAAACAGGAAAGATTAAATTCTAATTTAAGGCCATCTTCCTTAAGCACCAGTTTCATACATGAGCAAATAAAGGCACAGGTGATTAGAGAAGCTTCTCAATGTTTCACTGCTTTGGAGACTTATGCAGTGAAGAGAACATCACAAGCAACATTCCCAGATCTCAGTGAACCCAGAAGGGAAGCACCACTGCCTGATATGCCTGGGGGAAAAAAACAAAGGAAAGTTTCCATCAGGGCAGAATCTCTAGGCCTGTGAATCAATTCATGCCTGTGGTGCCCCTGACCCCAAGTGTCCTCAAGCCTTTCTGTTTGCACAGAGGAGCCAGATGCTGAAACTCAGAAGGCTGGAGAAGTCCCACCACTTACCGGCAGCCTGCTGCTCCTTGTCAAGTCCGCAGGGGTGTAAATATTCAGGTAGAGGCAGTCTTCAGAAAACTGGAGAGGAATGCGCTCCTTTCTGTTGGTTAGGAGGTCATTGACTATCTGCCCTGCCACTGGGTCTTGAGAGCACCTGGGAGGGGAGAGAGAACATCTGAGGTTCCACCAGGATGCAACCTGGAAACATTGCCTGGCATTGACTTTGCACAGGGAGATGTAATTCAATGGACCCAGGAGTCAAGCATTGTAAACACTGGTTTTTACAAGCAGCCGCTGAGGCCCTCAGATGTCAGGATGACACAGAAATCAGGGGACAGAAGTGGATCAACAAACAAAAATGGTTCTACATTTCATTCTGGGAACTTTTCCTATGTTATGGCAGGTAAGGGGTTTAATAGTCATAAAAGCAGTAACTCAAATGTAAAAAATAGGAATCGGTTAATTTCAACAGAAAATAAAGATTGAGATTACATTTATTTATTTTATTATATTATTTCTGAGACAGGGTTTCCAGTGAAAACCAAGGCTCATATTTCTTCCCAGTAACTATCTTTCTGCTGCAGTGACATGGGCTGGATACTTTTCTTTTCTTTTCTTTTTCTTCAGTTTTTTGAGACAGGATTTCTCTGTGTTGTCCTGGCTGTCCTGGAACTCAGTCTGTAGACCAGGCTAGGCTAGAACTCACAGAGATCTGCCTGCCTCTGCCTTCTGATTGTGGGGATTAAAGGCATGTGCCACCACCAGCAGATGAGATTTACCATTGCTGTGATTATTACATATTATTTATTTCCCCAAAGGCAGGATAAAATTATTTCAGTAAGCCTAAGGTTTAGGCAGAGTTTGTTGATGGGGACTTTTTGGAGAAAATTTAAGAATAGTTTCATAGTATTTGACTCAATAGTGCTACTTCTTGGGACTTATCCTAAAGAATTCATGAATGTGTGGAATAATTTAGTAACACTTTTCCATACTCAGATGTGTATGTCAACTATACCAAAGCCAACATGGTCACCAGAAGTTAAAGACTGGCTGAGTGTAATACAGTGTGGTGTTGAAATTAAGGCAGTTGAAAGTAGCACTGTGATATTCATTGGCAGAGGGTGATGTTGCCCGCATACTCATAAGTGAGACAGGAGGCTACCAGAACTGCAGAGGCCCGCGACAGACAAGAGGCTGTCACTGTGTCAGATGGTGTTAACAGTTGTCACTGGGTGGCATCCCCTGGGGGTTTACTTTCCTCTGCTTTGCATCTTGTATTTCCTGACTTGACTGTACTAAGTATTCATTACCTAAATAGCCAAAACACAAAACAGCAGGAGTTCAAGTAGTGCTTGACGGAGAAAGGGCTCTAGGAAGCTGTGCAGTTCTAAATGTTTCACATTTCCACAATGGCCGCTTTTGGTTTTTGTTTTTTTTCCAGCAGTTGAAAGGCTTTTGGTGGGGGTGAGGAAACACACACATACAGCCAGCACACAGAGAAAAAGACCCTCTGCAAAACAGAGTGGAGATTCTGGAAACTGAAGTCCTTCACACTGTTCTTGATTCCAGAACAAAGTAGAAACCAGTTAGAGTACTGTGCTGACCCCTTCCTATGTCACTCTGAAACAGAGTTCCTTCAAAAGAGACCCAGGCCCACCCCAGCAGCTTACATAGGAGGGTAGGAGGTGGCGTTCTTCACAAAGCTCCAGGGCTCTGCAGGCTGTGGTGGAGCAAACCTCAGGGATCCAAGAGGAGGCTTGGCAAAGGGGACTCCCAGGAAGACGGCCACAGGCTGTGGGAATCCTTCTAAGCTGACATACTTCCCCAGGACTTTGCCATGAGCAGTGTTCACCATGGGTGGTGAGGACGGGTGTCCTGCTGGACAAGAGAACATGAGGACACATCAGAGGGGAAAGATCAGGCCTGGATTTCTAATGGGTTTCCCCATTTTCTAAGCATGAAGCCTTGAATAAATTGCCTCAGCCTCGTAAGCCTCAGTATCTTCTCACCTCAGATAATGATGAAGAAAACAGTCCTTATTTTAGGGGGCATGGAAGGGACAGTTGGAATTGCACACAGAAAAGAAATTAAACAAAAACTCAATGTGAAAGAATGTTGGCTTCTAGAAATGTTTGTGACCTTCAATGTCATCCTCAAAAGTCTATGGAAATGTGTATCTGTTAAGAACCTGATACTGGCCCAGCATGGTAGCACATCTTTAATTCAGAGGCCCAGGAGGCAGAGGCAGACAGAGCTCTGTGAGTTCAAGGCCAGCAGGGTATATATAAAGAGTTCCAGTCAGACAGAGTTACAGCCAGATCATGTCTTTAAAGAGTAATAATAAAAAGAAGATCCCAGGGCTGAGCTGCAAGATGGACAAGAGGATGGACAGAGGTATCTTCTCCTCTCAGGAGGCTGACCTTATAGGAAAGGACCATAGATAGACTCAGCCTAATGCTGAGTTGAAATACCTGTCCTAGAAGGAGTGAGCACTTCCGATTTTTGTCTCCAAGGAACATCTGTGACTTGTAGTGGGGGGAGGAGTGAAAAGAGGAAGGTGTAAGTGGGAGGCGATGAAGCAAGAACATGCAGAAGACCAGCAACAGTTCAAATAGAGTAGAATAGAGGGTCTGCCGGAATGGCTGAGTAGCCTATGAATACAACCAAGAAGAGCCTGGAGGAGTTACAGGGCATACAGGAGTGAGCAGGTGCCTGTGAAAGAGGGCTACAAAGTCCAGGCTTCCATCCTACCCAGTGGACAAATAAGCACGAGCAATTGTAGAGTAAAGGAAACAAGGACTAGACATTCCTCCATGGGCTCTGAGCTAGGTCATCCAGACTAGATGCTTCTATATACCCCACGACCCTCATTTTTACAGAGTAGACCATCCTTTCTCATTTCTCTGCTTCTTCTGTCCAACTTCTGTGTATTGTGGGGTCTGAGGGAATCAGTCTGACCCTCCTTCTAGAGGCAGGGGTACTTTTACAAACCTTCTCATGATCACCCACATCTTTACTTCCAAGGTCAACCACTTCAGTGTATCAGAACACCCCTTATCAGTAATTTCTTTTCCTTTATTATTCCAACTGCTCTCATTTTGATACCTCCTCTGTACATGTGGCAGAATAGAAAACGATTGCAGGATTCCATCTAACAGAAGAATAACCCATTTTATCTGTACTGAAAATGGTGAACAGAAAAGGGTCTGGGACACATGGCATCTAGAAGTTAAATATTGTGGAAATTTAAGTTGTCTCTTCTTGTTGTTTTCTGTTAATTACTAGAAAATACTAACTTAATTTTTTGAAGACACTTATATATACTTAAATTATATTTTGACAACTTTTATCTTACTTTATAATTATTAGGTCATTAGGACACAAGCCCATCATAAGTCTAACGTGTTTATATGAAGAACAGCCATTAACACTGGAAAATCTTTATGGAAAGTGATTCAAGAAAATTCGATGCTTCCTTCCTTTCCTAGTTTTTAATTATTATCAAGCCACCTAGAGAAGAACTTTCTGGAAAACTTATATATTAGGATGCCTGTGCATGATGACAGCGTGAGTTTCTTTGTACTAGACACTGACTACTTTTTGTAACTAAGAGAAAATGTTATGAATAAATATAGAGATAGAAATGAAAAGGGAAGAACTGACCCCTGCCCAGTGTGGAGGTCATGTGAAAGAAAGAAGACTGGGAATCAGTCCAAGGCCGGGGCTGTGGAGAAGATGATAGAATGTCCTAAGATGATGCTGTATGACAGGAACACTCAGAACCCAAAGTCAGCCAGAGGCGGGTGAAGGGTCTGCGTGTGTGGCAGGGATGTGTGCAGCTACTCTTAAGGGCCACTGTGAAGTGACAGGAGGGCTGGGTGTGAATGCACAGAGGGCCACAGCCAGGGGGAAGAATGTCTACCGTAGGGCATCAGGATGAGGGCACAGCCCTGAAGAAATGCAGGGAGAAGGGGAACAGGTTGGTAAAGACGGTGAGTGCTTCAAAGAGGTGAAGGAAGTCTGTACAGATCTCAGTGTTAGTTCAGCACCAACCCTGCACTGAGACAGAATGGGGAGAAACCAAACTTCTCAGAGTAAAAAGTTTGGCTAAGGTGGGAGTTATGAACAAGGCCACCTACAGTAGTTCCCACTTACACTGTGTTGATTGTGTACGTATTGACATTGTGAGCAATCACTGTGTGCTAGAAACACATTCCAGTTCCTTTAAATTATTTCTCAAAGAAATTTTACTAGGTGCTTGTAAATGTGCCCACTTCACAGAAGAACAGCACAAGCTTGCAAACAGCTTATGTGACTCTCCACAGGTGGAAATGGGGTGACCAGCAGCAAAGAATGCTCCACTCCCAACCTGGCTCCTTTCCTTGTTACACACTCAGCTCTTGGCTTCTCACAGTGTCACATGCATAGAGAGAAGATAAAATCTAAACAGATACTAGGCTGTCAGTGTTCTGGTAGCCAAACACCAGCTCTGGATTCAGGAGCCCCAGATAGACTAAGGTGATGTTAGGAGTACGCATGACTCTATGAATCTCAGTTTCTCAGTTGAGATGTCACAGATAAACACGGAGGTCCAATATAGTCGTGTATCAACCATGAATTTAGTCTGTTCCTGTGAAGCTTTGACATATATGACTTTCATGACCCGGTGGGAACTGTGGTTCCCGGGGAGCATAAAACCCAGAGCCCAGTGGCATCATTCATGTCTCACACCGTGGGCTACCATCTTACCTGCCGTAGTTACTTAACAACCATGCATAAGACAACTAAGACAGCCTGTGACCAAGAGTCCCTTGAATTTTTTTCTTTCTGTATTATTTAAAACATTATTAAATTTGAATATATTTTGACCATATTCTTCCCCTTTCCCAAGTCCTTGCAGTTCCTCTCCCCTCCCTTCCTACTCAACTTTGAATTCGTTCTCAAAAACAAACAAACAAACAAACAAAAGCTGGGGGGGGGTGCATGCCTTTAATCCTAGCACTCTGGAGGCAGAGGCAGGCGGATCTCTGTGAGTTTGAGGCCAGCCTGGGCTATAGAGTGAGTTCCAGGAAAGGTGCCAAAGCTACACAGAGAAACCCTGTCTCAAAAAAACCAAAAGAGAGAAAAAGCAAATGAACAAACAAAAACCCAATACAACAATGAATCCCCCCAAACCAGGAAAACAAGATAGAAGTACACCCAAAAAGGAAAAATAAAATAAAAAACAAAAGACAGCTGCATCCGCATAAAAGCATACCCAAAGAACTGTGAAGTACATGATATGTTAGTGCTTGAAATGTGTTAAATCAGTCCTACACCTACTTACACGGCTTCACCCATTCCTACAGAAGAGACTTCCAGGAAGCACCTGTCTGTAGCTTGTCCATCCTTCCTCCTCCTACTGACTCTGCTGCTTTCTTTTCTTCACACCCCACCCCGACGATGAACACTTGCTTTGGGAGCTGAGATTGGCAAAGTATTATTTTACGGGCCATTATCTCTAAGGTGGTGACCTGACCATACCTCCAATTTCCTATTAATGAGCTCCATTTTATTTTATTATACTTTTGGTATGTGTGTATGAATGATGTATGTGTAAGTAAGTATACATTTGCATGCATAAGTGAAGGTGTGTGCATGCTGTGGTGCACGTGTGGTGCACGTGTGGCGCACATGTGGCAGTCAGAGGATCACCTTAGGCGTTGTCCCTCATCCACTGCCTTATATGAAATATGGCCCCTTTGTTGTTTGCCATGGTGTACGCTAGACTAGCTGGTCCATGAGCTTCTGGGAATTCTCCTGTCTCCACATCCCATTTTGGCATAGGAAGACTGGGATTACAGATGCATGCTACCACTACTGGCTCTGTGTGGATTCTGGGGATTCAAAATCATGTGCTTTACCACATGAGCCAGCTCCTCAGCCCTTACACACTTCATTGTAAATCACCCCCTCGTTTATCTCCGGCTCTCCCACTCCCCCTCCAGCCTAAGCCCACCTTAAGCACCGTACAAAGACAACCTGAGGCACCCTCACAGTGACCCACTGGGGAAGGCACTAGAGTCAACGCTTCTTCAGGCTAACATAAGTTCACCTAGCAGAGTGCTTTGCCTGAAGACAAATGGTTTGGAAGTACTGAGCCAAGATCCAGATTTTTCTGCTAAGCTTCCTTCCATGATCAGGCAAAATGTAGACTAATAATTTAGGAGAAAACAAACAGCTTTCCTAATCCCCTTTGTGATACTTGGAGCTAGCTCATTGCCCTCTGTACCTATCATGTGATTCTAGGTCTCAGAGTGTTTGCCTTTCTCTGACTCAGGGTGTCCACTCCATCCAATAGCTGGTCTGGAGACTGTAGCAGGGCACTTCACAGCTTTACACTATACTCACCTCTGCCCACCTCTACCAGATATGAGCGGTTTGAAATGTGCCCTCAAAACCTCAATATTTGTATTACAAAACAAACAAACAAACAAAAGACTCACCCTCTGCTGTGAAAGCTGCAAGAGTCACCAGGATCAGAGCACAGAGGTACATGGTAGAAAGCTTGGGGGAACAGCAGGGTCTCCAACCTGCGACTGATCCTGTCCCAATCCTGAAGACTTTTGGTAAGTTCCTCTCAATCAGTTGCATAATCCTAGAAAAGGACAATCTTTCTATTCCAAAGAGCTCTGCAGGTTTCCCAGGAGATCACTAAACCACTCCCACCCAGCTACACCCAGCCACTCCCACCCAGAGTTCACCTGGCTTTATCTAAACTGTTTGGACTCTCCACTTAGATTGCAGAAGCCCACAAACGGGTCAAACAGCTTCTTGCATAAGCAGCTGCCCCTGTAGCCCTCACCTCAGTGCTGTGTTCTTTCCCAAACCTAGGTACCAGCTCTCCAGACACCTTTAGGCAGGGTGACTTTTTGGTTTGGGGTCCTCACATCAAGCTGAGGAGTTCAGAGCCCCTCACAGCCACACAGTTGATCCCCAGGGAAGTGAGGACACACCTCTCAGCTTCTGTTGGCTGGTAGAGATTTGAGATCTCATTTTGGTAAAAATATTAAATTTCATCATTTTCTTTCAACCTAAATTATTTTTATAAGATTCCTGTCAAGCAGTCTAGCCTTCTGTCATGTACTGCCATGGTCAAGGAACTCTTAGCCTTTCAGAGGAGAGATTTGGAAATAGGTGTTCTTATATAAGTAAACAACATATTTTTGTTTTTAATAGTTTTAAGTTAGCCTGCATAGCAATGGGTTTTGTTATGTTGTCTGATGCAGACTTTGTTATTATTGATATTCTTCTTTACCCCTCTGCTCCTATCAGCTCATCCTTTGCCCACTAACAGTTCCCCTTTGTACTTCATGCTTCTTTTCTCTCTCATCTCTCCTTCTTTCATGGATTCTTCTAATTTCATGACCAATTGACAATGTATATACAAAAATATAAACATTAAAATCTAAAAAATCTTTTTGAGTCTAGTTTGTTTTACTTAAAATGGTCTTCATTTCTATCTGCTGTTATTGAAAATGTTATGATTTCATTCTTTTTATATTAGATAAAATTCCCTTATGTAAATGTACCCCATTTTCTTCATCCAAATGTCTATTATCTAGGCTGGCTCATTTCTTAGCAATTGTGAGAACTACAGAAATAAATATGGATTATTGATATCACATTGGTAGGATTTATACTCTTTGGGGCAGTTTAGCTGGGTCATACAGAAGTTCTATTTTTAAACTTTTGAGGACCTTCTATTTTCATTTCCATAGTTGCTATATCAATACACTCCCACTAACAGTGAATAATGATTTGTCCTTCCAAAAAACTCACCCATAGTCATTGTTATGTGCTTAATTTCTGTTCCATACAACAGACAAGGAGGGAACACTACCAAACTCTTTCTATGAAGTTATACTACCTTGATACCCAAAACACATAAGGAGACAATAACAAAACAATAGACTGATCTAGTTATTGGCCATAGATATAAAACTCTCAATAAAACATTTATAACTGAATTCAACAATACATTAGAGGGCTGGAGATATGGCAGTTAAGAACATTTGTTGTTCTTGCAGAGGACCTGGGTTTGGTTCCCAGCACTCACCTCATGTCTCACAACCATGTGTAAGTCAGGCTCCAGGGGATCTGATGCACTCTTCTGATTTCAGGTATGAGGTATGCATGTGATACACATATGTACATAGAGGCAGCACATTCATACGCATAAGGTAAAATGAATTTAAAAAGAAAATAAAAAAGAATTTTTTGGTTTTTTTTTGTTTGTTTTTACATCCCAATCAAAAGTTCCCTCCCCTCTCCTTCCCAAGTCCTCTCCCCTCCTCCCCATCTACTACTCCTCTACTGTTTCTCTTTAGATGCAGGCACGCCTCCCATGGATATCAGTCAGTCAGGTATATCAAGTAGCAGTGAGATTGGGCGCCTCCTCTCCTATTAAGGCTGGATGAGACAATCCAGTAGGAGGAATGGGTCTCAAAAGCAGGTAACACAGTAAGAGACAGTCCCTGCTCTCATTGTTAGGAGTCTCACACAATGACCAAGTTACACAGCTGTAACATATTTGTAGAGGGCCTAGGTCAGTCCCATGCAGGCTCCCTGGTTATTTGAGATTCCATGTTATACCTGTCAGAATGGCTAAGATAAAAAACACAAGTGATAGCTCATGTTGGAGAGGATATGGAGCAAGGGGAACACTCCTTCACTGCTGGTGGAGTGCAAACTTGCACAGCCACTTTGGAAATCAATATGGTGGTTTCTCAGAAAATTGGGAATCAATCTACCTCAAGACCCAGCTATACTACTTCTGGGCATATACCCAAAGGACACCCCACCATACAGCAAGGACACCTAAACTATGTTCGTAGCAGCTTTATTTGTAATAGCCAGAAAGTGGAAACAACCTAGATGTCCTCCAACCAAAGAATGAATAAAGAAAATGTGGTACATTTATACAGTGGAGTGTTACTCAGCTGTTAAAAACAATGACATCAGGAAATTTGCTGGTAAATGGGCTGAACTAGACAAACTTATCCTGGGTGAAGTAACACAGACCCAGAAACACAAACATGGTGTGTATTCACTCATAAGTTGATATTAGCTATAAAGTAAAGGAGATCCATGCTACAACCCACAGACCCACATAAATTGATATGCTTACCCAAACTGTCATCAGAGGCTTCACTCAGCAACTGATGGAAACAGATGTAGAGACCCACAGTCAAATATTAAACAGATCTCAGGGAATCCTACAGAAGAGGAAGAAGAAGGATCGTAGGACCCAGTGGTGCCAAGGACACCATAAGAATACTCACAGAACCAACTAACCTGGGTTCATAGGGGCTCTCAAAAGATTTGTGCATGTGTGTGTGTGTGTGTGTGTGTGTGTGTGTGTGTGTGTGTGAGAGAGAGAGAGAGAGGGGGGGGGAAGAGGGAGAGGGGAGAGAAAGAAAGGAAGAGAGAGAAAGAGAGGGAGAGAGAAAGAGAGGAAGAAGGAGAGGAAAAGAAAGAGAGAAAGAGAAAACATGAAATTGGGTGGATAGAAAGGTGAAGAAGAGCTGAGAGGAACTCATAGAGGGAAAAGCATCAAAATATGTGGTATGAAAAAGACTAAATAGTTAAAAGATAAACTTTTAAAAACAATTTAAGGCCAAACACCCTAATTGTTGTGCTAGAAACCTCATCCAACTACTGAGGGATCTGGATGCAGAGATCCATGACTAGGCCCCGGGTGGATCTCTGGGAGTCCAATTAGCGAGAATGAGGAGGGTTTATATGAGCGAGAATTGTTGAGACCAAGGTTGGATAAAGCACAGGGACAAATAGCCAAATGAATGGAAACACATGAACTATGAACCAATGGCTGAGGGGTCCCCACTGGATCAGGCCCTCTGAATGGGTGAGACAGTTGATTGGCTTGATCTGTTTGGGAGGCATCCAGGCAGTGGGACCAGATCTTGTGCTCATTGCATGAGTTGGCTGTTTGAAACCTGGGGCCTATGCAGGATTGTTTGGCTCGGCCTGGGAGGAGGGGACTGGACCTGCCTGGACTGAGTCTACCAGGTTGACCTCAGTCTGTGGGGAAGGCTTTGCCCTGGAGGAGATGGGAATGGGGGGCGGGGGTTGGGGGGAAGGTGAGGGGGACGGGAGGGGGGAGAACAAGGGAATCCGTGGCTGATATGTAGAACTGAATTGTATTGCAAAATAAATTAAAAAAAAAACAATTTAAAAGGAATATATTAACCAAATTGGTTTTATCTCAGAGATGCAAGGTTACTTCAGCATATTCAAATCAATAAATGTAACACAAAATGTAAATAAATTAAAGGTAGGTGCAAACAACAACAACAAAAACAAACAAAAAAGAAGTTCAAGACTGTAAGTCCTGGAGAAACTAAGAAAAGAAGGGGTGTTTTTCCTGACCCCATCTCAGTGAGTTAGAGTTGGTATATAGAAAACTGCTGAGCTGTATATGTTGGTTTCATGTTCTACAACTTTGATGAGTATTTATTAGATCTAAGAGTTTTCTGATGAAGCTTTAAGTACATCTCCCAAGGAGGCAAAAAGGCCACTATGATAAAAAAAAAAAACAACTAAAGAATAAAACTGAAGAAGATGCTAGAAAATAGAAATCCATCCAGTGTTGTGGCTGCTTTGGGAGAATTTTCATTAGCTTCATTGAAGATAAGCATAGATTCCAACATGACTCAGCAATTCCAGTTCTAGGGGACTGAAAACAAGGGCCATACAAAAATTGGTAAACATAACAACCTTATTCATAATAGCCAAAAAAGGGAAAGCTCAAAGTCTATCAACCAATGAATGAATCAATTAGTTGACAGTCCACAGTACAGAATACTACTGAGCCATAAGAACATGCTACAGTGTAGAAGAATCTAAAAACATGTTAAATGAAAAAAGCCAGACATGAAAGTCAAAGACTGTGTGTGATTCTATTTATATGAAATGTCCAAAAAAAATCCATCTTTGCATTCATTTGCAAATATTTCTTGAGAATATACAGTGTGTCAAACCCTGTGCCTGGGGTTTTGTAGGTAGGACATCAGTGCTCAGAATAACCTCGTGATTCATGTTAGTGGATCCAAGGCTCAATGTGGCTGAGGGACTGCCCAAAAGAACACATCATGTAAGATGAACAACTGATAATTGAGAAAACTCTATGATCATAGAACCATATCCTCAACCACTATGCCATGGTGTCAATGTTTGGGAGAAACCACATTTATGGGGTGCTGAGCACATGTATTACTGAACTGTGAGACAGCTTGGGTATCTCCTCCTATGACCTCCATAACCTTTCCTCAATAAACATCTGCCTAGCCTTTCTACTGATCTCTTCTGCATCCTTCAGGCTCACAATAGGGATGGGCAATGGATGTTGTGTGGGTCTATCAGGGTAGGTGGATAGGCAGGAGCTCTAGTCTATGAAGAGGCAATGACTAGGTGACAGGAGAGCCCTCAATATTCCTGTTCTCTGTCTCCCAGCATATACTTTTTCTGGGGAAACC